GCCACCCGGGAGCCGGGTGGCCCGGCTGGTAGCCTAGGTATATGTATATTAAAAAACAATTGAAAAAAAAAAATGTACTCACTGCGACTCACCAGTAGACCAAGTCAGCCCGGGCCACTTTGGTGTGATATTCTGTTAGCCCAACCTTGAAGAAATACAATTACTTGACGAAAATAGTTAAAGAATAAAGTCCAATCCAATAAAACTTTTTCTTTTCAAATAATTAAAAAAAAAAAAAAAAAAAAACGTATATCACACGACAATAATAGTGCTGAGAAGGGTGCCACATGTCACTATCAGAGAGAGAGAGAGAGAGAGAGAGAGAGAGAAAGGACAGAACGAAGAAACGGAGGGACTCGAGTGCAACTTCATACTAAGAAACAAAATGGAATGGAGATTTGAAACCTCCGCATGGCTCAAACATAAATTATCATTAAAAGATATGGACAGGTGGAATCACACATGAAAGCAAGGGGGTGCGTTGCATACACATGTTATGAACTTGGTTGTCTGTTGCAATTTTGCCAACACTCACACACGTAAACTCCAGTACACGCCCATACATGCACAGAAGGAAGGGGAGAGGAGGGACTGTCACTCCACACAGAAAGGAGAAACGCAGTGGAGGACTCACATATGCGAAGTGACAGATGCATTCTCTCCACAGAAACCCCAACAACCAATCACAAGATGACAACCGAGTATATCACATCCAGAAAACAATGAAGAAATGATAGTCCAACACAGTATCCAAACTGTTTATTAAGAGCTGAGAATCGTTCACCCTGAATAGTTCAGAATCCATTTGCACTACCCTCAGAGAGGTAGCGCCTCAACCCCAACCACTGAGAACCTATAAAAATAGCTCAGGATCCCTGACAACACCCAGTGCCACCCATATACTGATCCCAGGGGTCAGTGCCAGCATGAAACATACTCCTAGAGCCAAGCACCATACAGAAGATGAAGAAGAAGCTCAGCGCCAACAGTCTCTGACAAACATAAGGTTCGGATGATGAAGATCTCTAAGGATGCAGCTATGGCTGCATCTCAGCACCCAGACCCTTCTCCTGAGGAGGGTCAGCAGCGCACCATGTGCTCCCGATCAGCAGACCACAGATAGCCCAGGCCTCTGACAAGCCCCAGGGGCATGCAGAGGACTGCGGAGGTGCCAGCTATGGCCAACACGCCGAAGGCTTGGCTATGTTTTCTATCTCCTGCGCAACAAACTGTCCCACAACCAGTTTGCACGCACGCAACAGCTTCCCCATAAAGTGTAAACTGCCAAAAGCCTCCAACCTACGACGACACTCTACAAATACCCTAGCCTAGGGCCTATAGGACCGGTACCGTTTCAGTTTGGCCAATTTCGGCCTAGACCCTACCCGGCTATAACGGCTAACGGACCGCTGCTACGGGCCAAGGCCACTAGGGTCTCCCGTCCTAGTGGTAGACCGAGACTGCTATAGGCAGTAGGGCTATAGGAAATTTGAATTAGTACTGGGACTGCAATTTTACAAAATTACAAATATGTCCCTGTAGAATTTCCACAGACTGAATCAGCGGTTAGTCCGCACACAAACAAAATTACGGATCTATACTACTATAGTACAGCCTCAGTGACGGCGCAGGCTGCACGAATCAGCAAGTCATTGCACAAAGATAGCAAGATAATGTCAGAGATGAAACGAGGTGGATGA